ACGGGAACAGTTACTCTGATTCAAGGACAGCCGGCTGATTTCATTACTACGTCTTGCGGGGCACTGCCAAACAACTGGGCCAACAGGTCCTCAACATCACACACTTTGCAAAACGCAGGCGCGCGCGCCGGAACCATGAGCGCGGGGACTCTTGCGCGGCGCAGACTCCCCAGAGACGGAGGCTAAGAACTGTACGCGATATTGGGCACAGAAGATATAGACTCCTGCACACAACCTTTTCAAACACAAGCTCCAATGTACAGAGCCACAACTATACTGAACTTGGAACCCTAGCTAACAACTAAAAACTTTAGCTGTTTCTTAGGAATCAAAGTACCTTAAAATTAAAAACTCTTTCCAAGTATCCCTGAGACAAACCCTCAAGCCACAATGCGCACGGGCAGCCACGTTTTTCGCGGCGTTCGGCTCGGCGGGCGGCGTGTCCACCAGAGGCGGCAGCGCGGACAGATCTTGCGGCACCGGGGCCGGGCCGGCGTCCTCTCATCCATTCAGAGAACTCTTGGCAAAATTTAGGGCTCTTGTCCATGTAGGGTCTAACCCCTAAACCCCAAACACTGAACCCTAAACCCTGAACCCTGAACCCTATAGGGTTTGCAGGCTCTGGGGGTGTGGATGTTCAGAAGGGCAATTGGTGTCTCGAGTCGGTGATGAGCAGCTCATCTAAGGCATCTAAGGGTTGGCCTATTTTGGCGGTGACTTTCAGGGTCCATTTCTACGATTTGCTTAAGAACCCCAGAAGAATAAACAATAATCATCCCTATATTTCCCTTATGAGGAAGAGTAATGTCCTATTCTTTTGGGGGCTCTTAAGCAATTCGTAGATTTGGGGGCTTCCGAAAATAGGGGTACCCTTTTCGGGCATCCCTTTCAGGGGATTCTATTAAAATTGGGGTATGGAGGGGGTCCATTTGTGCAAGAGATCCCTTCTACGCGCTGTCTACCTGGGAACCCGTAAGCCCTCTAGGGTTTAGGGTTTAGGGTTTGGGGTTTGGGGTATCTCTCTCTCTCTCTTTCTGTTTGTCACTCGCACTCAGTGTCTGTCAGGCAAAACCCCTTTTGCATCCAGGCTTTTTCGAACACTGCCGGGCAAGAATCCACACAACTAGTCTCGCCTCAACCCTTACACCCTATAAACCCTAAACCGTAAACCCCAAACCCTAAACCCTTAAAGCCTTAAACCCTTAAACCCTACACCCTTAGGCCCTAAATCCTAAACCCTAAACCCTAAACCCCAAACCCTAAACCCCAAACCCATCCATGAAGCCCCATCGGGCCTTGGCCTTGGGGTGCGAACTACTTCGCTCGTCTTTGCGAGGGCTCCTTGTAGCGACGCAATCTTGGGTGTTAGGGTTTAGGGTTTGGGGTTTAGGGTTTAGGGTTTGGGGTTTGGGGTTTAGGGTTTAGGGTTTAGGGTTTAGCATTTGGGGTTTAGGGTTTAGGGGTTTGGGGTTCTCAGGGTCTAGTTTTGGAGCCCCGGGCCCAGCACTCCCCCGAGCAAGCTACGGGGGATGGGGAGCCGAAGCCTCTGGGTTTAGGGTTTAGGGTTTAGGGTTTAGGGTTCAGGGTTTAGGGTTTAGGGTTTAGGGTTTAGGGCTTAGGGTGATGCCCTTTTGTTGGTTCCTAGGAGGGGTTTCTAAGGGAACCGCACCCCTCAAGGGTCCACTGGGTACCCTAAGCCCTAAACCCTAAACCCTAAACCCTTTTGGGCTCTTATAGGGTTTAGGGTTATAGGGCTTAGGGCTTTGGGGTTTTGGGCGTTCGGGCGTTTAGGGTTTGCATGTAAGGCTTAGGATTTCACTGCTTTCGGGTTTATGGCTGCCGCGCGCTGTTACTCAAGTTTCCCTATCCTTGGACCGTGTCTGTGGAAGAAGAAAGAAGACGAAGCGCGAACAGGCTTCCCTTACAACAAGAGACCTTCAGGTTAAACCCTAAACCCTAAACCCTAAACCCTAAACCCTAATCCCTAAACAAAGAAGCCTGCGCGAATGGCGCAAATTTGACCCCCGCAGCTGATACCTTTTACACCTGAACCCTGACACCCTGAAGCTCTAAACCCTCCCCAAAAGGGGCCCCCAACCCTCAACCCTAAACTCTAAATCACCCTAAACCCTAAACCCTAAACCCTAAACCCCAAACCCTAAACCCTAAACCCTGAAGTGGGGAACTGTGTGTGCTGAGCCGAGTTGCGCTGGGGCTTTCTCAGGAGCCGGGGCCTTGGCCGCGGCGGCGCTGCGGGTCGGAGTGGTCGGCGCAGGGGCCTGGTGTTGGGTGGGTTTAGGGTTTAGGGTTTAGGGTTTAGGGTTTAGGGCTACAGTAAGGTTAGGGTTCAGGGTTCGGGTATGAGGTTTAGGGTTTAGGGCCTAGGGGGTTTTAGGGGACTTCAGCAACTCGACCCTCTCGACAGACCGTCTGAAAACTTAAGGAACCCTCTAAACCCTGAACCCTAAACTGGCCCTAAACCAGAAAAACCGCTGACGTT